TCCCCCTCGTCCTCCTCCCCCTCTTTCTCCACATTCTCCTTATCTCCTCTTCTTCCACGTCCTCCTCGTCCCCTGTTTACTCCTCTAGCTCGCTCTTCTTTATCAAGATAACGGCAAACCAATCCTATGTTCCACTGAATGCTCCCCGACTTCTCTGATCCAGGCAACTCGCCAATGTAAAGTTGCTGGATGGGTTGGCGTGGATGAGCGGAGCTTGAAGAGGTCTTGGGGGGCTGGGACGGCATGCAACATCCGCCGCGCTTGTGCGGCATTGGCGTGCTGTGTGGTAGGGTTCGTGGACGCCCCCCTCAGGAGGATCCTTGAGCGCCCCGAGGCCCATTAATTGTGAGCGCCTTGAGGCAGCTTCCCCTGAACCCAGGCTTTGGACACGGATGCCGAATTGCAGCAGGCAGCTGGATTGTCAATGAACGTGTTCAGACACAGCCCCGCCGCAGGCGCCGATGTGCTGATGTAGAGTCAATGTGGGCCGGATCAGGGAATTTGCCCACCTGCAAGGAATGTTGAAAACAGCCCGCCGCAGGCGCCGAACATTTTGATTTGTATATTGAACGCGGTTTGGGTCGCAGGTTCTCCACTGTGAACGAATGCAGAAGAAACCCGCCGCATGCGCATAATTTTTGGTTTGCTCAGTGAACGTAGTTTGGGTCGCGGGTGGGTCGCGGGCTCTCCACCTCCACCTGGAAGGAAATCAAAAACAGCCCGCCGCAGGCGCCGAACATCTTGATTTGTACACTGAACGCGGTTTGGGTCGCCGGTAGGTCGCAGGTTCTCCACCTGGAACGAATGTAAAAGAAGCCCGCCGCAGGCTCCGAAAAGTTTGGGTGGGTCGCGGGGTGGGTCGCGGGTGGGTCGCGGTGGGTCACGGGTGGGTCGCGGGTGGTCGCAGGTTTTCCACCTGGAACGAATTGCAAAAGAAGCCCCCCGCAGGCGCCGAAAGTTTGGGTGGGATCGCGGGGTGGTCGCGGGTGGGTCGCGGGTGGGTTGGTCGCGGGTGGGGTCGCGGGGTGGTTCGCGGGGTGGGTCGCAGGGTGGGTCGCGGGTGGGTCGCGGGTGGGTCGCTGGTGGGTCGCGGGTGGGTCGCTGGGTGGGTCGCGGGGTGGGCACGGCGGGTCGGGGTGGGTCGCGGTTGGGTCGCGGGTGGGTCGCGGGTGGGTCGCGGGGTGGGTCGCGAGTGGGTCGCGGGTGGGTGTTGCGGATGTGTCGCGGGGGGTCGCGGGGTGGGTCGCGGGTGGGTCTCGGGGCGGGTCGCGGATGTGTCGCGGGTGGGTCGCGGGGTGGGTCGCGGGTGGGTCTCGGGCGGGTCGCGGGTGGGACGACGACAACAACAAACAACAAACAACAAACAACAAACAACAGTAATCCGCATCGCGGAATTCCACTTCAGCCACGCACCCAGGGACAGTGAATGACCGTTCGGTTCAGCCCCTTCATTCTGATATTTTTTAAGGATCTCTTTGGAGGGAAGGCTTCTCACAACATCATTTATGCGCCTCGGGTCTTCCTCCTCCTTCTCCTCTTCCTCCCCTCTCTGGAGGATACGTACGGAAATCATGCTGACGAAGATTGCGAGCAGTTCTTGTTCATTTCAAACAGAGCTCGCTGTCGTGGGTGCTGCTCTTATGAGATGCACCTGCCGAAGAGCGGCCGCTGCTGGTATTGGACAGCATGCGTTGTTGGGCATCTTGCGCATTTTTACGCACCTATTTCTGGCGTGCGAACCAGTACTGCCGGGCCGTTGAAGAAGGAACCCTTTTCGTTGGGGCGGGGCTCCGCGTTCCTTAGTTGTTTTGCAGTGCTCCTTGGGTTGTCCTGAGGTTTCCCATGAAACATCGGGGTTTAACTTATGGGAGAAATGAGCCTCGTTCCTTGTTTATCGTTCCTTCGGTCAACGCCCCGACGGTATTGCTTCCTCTTCCTTCTCCCCCCCCTCTCGGAGGGGACACGCCGGCATGCACATGCGTCTTCGGTTGCCCGCGCGTGGGGCCGACGCTGGACCTCTCTGGCGGCGCCTCCCCGCGCCGCACCCGGCGCCCTCGGCGCGCCCCCGAGGGGGGGGTCCAGCGCGGATCGGGGACACGGCGCTGACCTCCGCAGGTCTCTGTTTCAGTCGGGCCTGCCCCTCCACAGGGGGAATCTTCAGAAACGGTCAAACAGTAGTCTGGGGACTATTTGTGGAGTTTTTTTTTGTTTTGACCATCTTGGAGGTATTTTCGGGAGTATCTGTTTCGTCGAAAATCCCCCTGTAGGGGGACACGCCCAACTGAAGTCTATGTCCATGCAGGTAAGCTCTCTTCGATCCTCTTCCTCTCACTGGCCCCAGCGGGCCGCCGCGTGGACTCGCTTCTCACTGGCCCCAGCGGGGCTGTCCTGGACTCTGGCGGCCATGGGCTGCGGCACTCGCCCGGCAGACGCGAGCTTGACTCGCGCCCTCGAGGACGACATGACTGGACCGAGCCTCGTCCTTCCTTCCACCCTTCGTCCTTCCTGCCTCCCGCCCGACTCCTGCTCGCGTCGCTCCGACTCTGGTGCCGACTCCCGTCCGATTCTGTCCGACTCTGGCTCCCGCCACCTCGACTCCTGACCCGGGCCCCAGCCCGCCCGCGCCGCCCTCGTAGGGCTGGTCCGTCGGACCGACGGTGCGTGCTCTTTCGCTCGCTCGCCTCCCTCCTCTCCTGTCTGTCCTGGCTCTTGCTGTTCGTCGTCGTCATCGTCATCGCCCTCCCTCCTCCTCTCATGAGTCACACAGGGATCCAAAGTGCATCCCGGGCTCTGGCCCATCCGCCGTGCCCAGACCCCCGAACGTCATGTTTTTTTCATGACGCGACCCCCAGAGGTCCAGACCCATTCTCCCCGACCCGTTTTTCGTCCCGATTCGATTTTTTCTGACGGTCCCGAAGCCCAGTGAGGGCCCCCAGAGGTCGAGAATAGTGAAAAACCTCCCGTCTTTTTTTTCACAGCGCGAGGGTGGCCTGGGTGCTCTCGCAGGGCCGTCCTTCTGGACGTCTGCCGGCGCCTCGCCTCTCCGATCTCTGACGCCAGCCCCATGTCCAAAGTGCATCCCGGGCTCCGGCCAAACCGCCGTGCTTTCGTAGGGCCGCTCTTCTTCCTTCTCCTCCTCCTCCGAGGAGGAGGAGGAGGAGGAGGATATGCTGTTGCGCTCCATGCCCATGGAGCCACCGCCTGGCATTTGGAGCCCTTTCGATGTGGTGGACAGGGAGCTCAGCAATGGCGGCAGCCAGCTTGCGCTGCAGCAGCCGGAGCCGAAGGAGACGCCGAGGCCAGTGAAACGCTTGCGGAGGTGGGGCCGCCTGGAGGCAGCGGCCTCGGCGGAGCCACCGCAGGACTTTCTGCTTTCGCCCGCGTCGACCCAGAGCTCGTCGCCACCTGCAGCACGTCCTCCTCAACAGCACAAGGGGCCGCCGCTGCCGCCGCCAGCTCCGAGATTGAAGTTGGTACTGGCGCCGCCTGCTGCGCCGATGGCGGACAAGGCGGCGAAGTGCCCCAGGCAGCGCAAGCGGCGGAAGAAGGCCAAGGACGCCCGCTCTTTGGAGGCGAGGCAGGGTCTGAAGCAATGGCCCCCGCCTCCGCCTGCAGCGGCGACAGCGCAGGGCGGTGCTGCGGCAGGGTTGCAGCTGCCACCGCCGCCGCCGCCGCCAGTTTCACGGGCAAGGTCGAGGGCTGCGGATCGTACACGCGTGGCGGGGGGAGGTGGCATGTTTGCGACGGTGTTGACCCCGCCGCCACTTGTCAGGATAGTCCGCACCCCGCCGAGGAGGCGGAAGTGAAAACCCAGGCTCAGGAGTTTTTCATCGGTGATCGTTCACGCCGTCGGCGTCGACCTAAGAGGCTTGGGCAGAACTTGTCTTACGCTTCGTCTTCCAGATGCACAGCGGCATCCGATGGCCACATCAAGGCAGTTTTGGAAGAATGCGCGGTTTTGGCTGAACCCCATTTTGGGGCTCGCTCAGCGTGTTCACGTCTTACATTTGAGGCTGAGCTTCCCGTTGACGAGGCTCGCCATGAAGTGAACTCTTCCTCGCCCAAAGCTCGCACTTACGTCATGCCGTTGGTGTGCTCTGACCGTTCAGGAGCTGTCCGTGCAGAGGGTGTGGCGCCGTCTGTTGGGGCGCCCCTTTCCATGTTGACAGCGTTGGCAGGTGAGTTCGACATCGACGGCGGCAGTGAGTGTGATCTGGAGGCTCTTCCCAGTTGGGTTGATGAAGCACTTGTCCCAGAGTTTGGTGATCATTTGCAACTGCCTCCGTTTGTTGAGGCGGCGGGCGCGGGAGTCGAATATACCGGTTTGTCGCAGCCTCTTTCGGTTGAGGCGGCGAGTTCCTTTGCGAAGCCCGCGTCAATTGGTGATGATTCCTTGCCGCCGCCTCCTGCGGTCGAGGCGGCGGGATCGTCATACGTGGATGTTGTGCGGCGGCCGTGTGTGGCCGTTATCTTTTCGTATGTTGGCCACGCAGATGACGTGGCAAGTGATCCTGTGGTTGGCGCGAGTTTATCGCAACCTCCCTCGGTTGAGGCGGCCACTCTTTGGGAGCCGCCTCCTGAAGGTGAGGCGGCGGATGGGGCGGCGTCTGTGGAGCACAACTGTGGCTCTCTGCAGGATCAATTTGATATTTTCCGCTGCTTTGCTGACTGTGACAGCGTTCTTTCCGCACTCCGCCTGCAGCCATGGCTCGTTACACCTGTAGCCAGCGCGGCGTTGCGACTGCGCGCGGAGGGGGCCTCTACCGCGGTGTCGCTGATGCCAGTTGTGCTCGCCTTGCTGACTGCAGCTGGGCGCTGACTGATCGACTGGCACTCGCGGCGCTAGGCTCGAAGTAGTCAGCGCTTGCGGGTGGGTCGCTTTTCTTCTTGCCTGCCTGTCAATCTCTGCGGAAGCTTGGCTGTGCAGTCGCCTATAGCAATAACAAATCCTCCGCCTCGCCTCTCTGCTCTCCGACGCCAGCCCCCGCGCGCCCCTTCAGGCGGCTGTGGCGGTGGCTCCGTCGGCGGCTGCGGCGGCTGCGGCGGCCGGGACGGCTACGCCTCGGCCGGCTGCGGCGGCTGCGGCGGCTGCGGCGGCTGCGGCGGGTGCGGCGGCGGAGGCCGCGGCGGCCGCGGCGGCTGCGCCGGCGGCGGCTGCGCCAACGGCGGCTGTTCAGGTCGGGATCCCGCAAAGGGCGTGTATGCCCTGGTGCGAGAGAGAGAGAGAGAGAGAGAGAAAGAGAGAGAGAGAGAGAGAGAGAAAGAGATGCCGATCGGTTTTGGCACCGAACCGCCCAAAACAGATGCCCCCCAGCCGATGGCGGCTCCCGCCCGGTAGTTGCCGATAGGTGGGGCGGGCGGGAAGCATCTGTTTGGGGCAGTTTGGTGCGCCAGCGGTTTTAAGTCGGGCACGTCCCTCTACAGGAGGAAGGTTCAAAATTAGTCAAACAATGGTATGGGGACGGTTTTTCGATACTGTTTGTTATACTCATGTTTTGGGTGCTTTTGATAATATTTTATTTGTCCTACAAAATTCGCCTGTAGGGGGACACGCCCGACCTGAGCCAACGGATCGAACTTATGCCCCCCCCTCAGGGCCGCCCTTCCCTTGTGGTGGATCCCGTCGGGGGTGGACAGATACCCTGACGCGTCGATTCGTGAATTGTCCGTTTTCGGTTCTCGAGAAGGCGCCGCGGCCGTCATTATCCAGGCTTGCGTCCGCCAGGTTTGGGCCCGGGGTCGTTCTCACTCAGCCACGTTTTGCCAAAGGGGGGGTTCTGTCCGTTCCCGCTCCCGATCAGGGGGCGGCTGCGCTGGGGGCGGCTACGGGCCGTCGGGGTCCGCCCCGGGAGGCACGCGCGCGCCGCCCGCCTGCTTGGGAAGGCCAAGGAGGGGCGCGGCACGGAGGCTGGGAGGGTTCGGGCTAGCATCAAGTCGGGCCTGTCCTTCTACAGGAGGAACATGCAAAACAAAAAGAGCAAACAGTTTTTTTAGCGTATTGTTTGGTATTTTTCATTTTTCGTCCAACATCCGCCTGTAGGGGGACATGTCCGACCTAAGGTTAGCAGATCAGGGGAGCCCCCGTCTCTAGAGTGCGCTCGCGTCGACTCGTGTCGGGTAATAAATCGAGGGGCAGCGCCGACTTGGCGCCGATTCGCGTCGGGGTGGCGTCGATTTAGGCGTCGATTCGCGTTGAGCAGCGTCGATTTGGCGTCGATTCGCGAGAGCCAACCAGACGGTACTGGAGGCTCCCATCAGCTGCCACCGGAGGAATGACGCGGCGGTGCAGGATTGGCCGCGGCGGCTCCCCCGGTTGGCGCGCTGGAGGATCCAGGTGTGTGCGCCGGCCAGCATTCCTGTGCGCGGCAGTTTGCGGAGAGCTACACCTCAGCATCGCTGCGCTTTGACGTTTCGCCCTCGTCCTGTTGTTGTTTGTTTCCTCCGTCAGCGTCGTGGTTCCAGACCTGTATCGAAGAAACAAACACACGCCACAAACATACACTTTTGGCGCTCCGCGCGGATTTCCTGGATCCGCGCTGGGCCCCACCGGCGGCGCCTCCAGCGCCGCCCCTGGCGCGCTCCGCCCGCCAGGGAGGGGGGTCCAGCGCAGATCCAAGAAATTCGCGCAGAGCGCCAGAAGTGAATGTTTCTGGCGTTTCTTCTTGTTCTGGGCCAGCTGTGGTTCCCGCCGCGCGCCAGAGGTTCCGCCTCCTCGTGGGCCGCCCAGCTCGGTGATGCTCCCCCTTGGGTGCCGCCTGCTGGCGCTTGGTTCTCCAGTGGGCTGGGTGGGTGCGTCTACGGTGAGCGCGAGCTATCAGTAGGAAGGGCCTCAGCCCCCGCCGCGTCCAGAGCCCGAGTGCCCCCGCAGGGGCACTCCGCAACTCTGCGGGCGCCCCCCCCCCTTCCCTCCTCCTCCTCCTCCCCCTCCTCCTCCCCTCCTCCTCCTCCTCCTCTCCCTCCTCCTCCTCCTCCTCTTCCTCCTCCTCCTCCTCCTCCTCCTCCTCCTCCTCCCCCTCCTCCTCCTCCCCTCCCCCTCTTCCTCCCCCTCCTCCCCCTCCCCTCCTCTCTCCCTCCCTCCTCCTCCTCCTCCTCCTCCTCCTCCTTCTACCTCCTCCTCCTCCTCCTCCCCTCCTCTCCTCCTCCTCTCCTCCTCTCTCCTCCTCTCTCCTCCTCCTCCTCCTCCTCCTCCCCCCCCTCCTCCTCCTCTCCTCCTCGTCCTCCTCCTCCTCCTCCTCGTCCTCCTCCTCCTCGTCCCTCTCCTCCTCCTCCTCCCTCGTCCTCGTCCTCCTCCTCCTCCTCCTCGTCCTCCTCCTCCTCCTCCTCCTCCTCCTCCTCCTCCTCCTCCTCCCCCTCCTCACCCCCACACTTTAGCGAGTTCTCGACGGAATCCGCTGATTCACTCAGGACTTTGTCTTCCGTCTCGTGCCCCGCTTCGTGCTGATGGATCTCCGTCTGCTCGGTGCTATTTGGGGTGCTCAGGCTCGCACATGTTCGTCACGCTCTCTGCTCCAGACGTCCCAGGATGAGCAGAGTGCCGAGCTCTCAGACTGCCTGGCTGTTGCGCTCTGCGCTGCCTCCTCCCCCTCGACTTAGAAGCATCAGGGCCTCGTTTCCAGGGGATCACCCTCGGAACCAGGTCCCGAGGGAGCCTGCCACCCTCCCTGCCTTTGATGGCGCCCCTCTCCGCCACCTCGGGGGCTGATGTGACTGGGGTTGTGGACGGCGATCAATGGAGAGGAAGCGTGTTGCCAAATAACTTCCAGATGTCTAACACATGTTTTAAACATGTCTTAAACAGTTAAATCAACAGGTTTTAAACATTTTAAGAACAGGTTTATTCATGCTAATTTCAATGCTAGGATTGTTAGGGTGTCCATTGTCATGGCATCCACAAGGCGGGGGGGGTCTCTCTATAACCAGGAACCTCCGGGTGATTGGCCTTTCCCGCCTCTTCCCCTTCCCTGCTCCCTCGCACGCTGTGCTGCGCAAAACGTCGAACACAACCTACCAGGTCTCGAGGGAATCCCAGCCCGCAGCCCCTTCTCGGGGGGATCATCTTAGGAGCCCGCTCGTTGGGGGTCCCACGGGCGTCTGGGTGCCTCACGCTTTCCTCGCCGAGCTGCACGGCTGCTGTGGGTGCCCGCGCCTGCGCTGCCTCCTCGGGCAGATGCAGGAGAACACTGTCAGCTGGCCTCGTGCGGCAGCAGAAGTCGAGGAGGAACTCGACTGCATATCCCACAAGAAACAATCGCGGGACAATTGAATTCACGCAATCGATTTCCTGATCGAACCCTTTGTTTCTTTCCACTGACGTCGGCTTCCGGGGCCCTCTATCGGTCGGGCCCCAGGGCCGTGGAACATTGTCTGGGACGACATCAGCCCCCAGTGGGGCGGCCAGGACCCCTGGTGCCGCGCATAACCACATCATCAGATGTCTGGGGCCTCGATCCACTGATGACTCGGTCGCAACTCTTGGGAGGTGAAATTCGGCTTCGGCGCTGGCACAGCCCTGGTCGCAAATCTGGCCAAGCCCTGCCAGATCCCGCTTTTTCTGGCGTAGCCCCCTGCTTGATCCCGCCCGATCCGGCCTACTCGTTGGTCATATGACCAAATCCACGCCGCCCGACTGGGTCGAAGTTGATGTCGTCGGGGGGTCTCGCCGCATCGCCGATGCATCGGCGAGGCGGCATGACGTGGAGCCCGATATTCTCCACGCTGACGTCGCCGATGCATCGCCGAAGTCGGTGATGCATCGCCGATTCATCGGCGATGCGGCGCGACCTTCGACCCCATCTACTCGGACCCCCAGTGGGCGGCTTCCGCTAATTCAGTTTCGTAGCCCTTGAGTAAGCGTTTACAGTGGAGGCCCATGCCAAGAAGCACCCCGCTTGCCTCCAGGGTGCCCTGGGTTTCTTGGGTTTCGATGGTTTTGTCCTGGAAAGCGTGACGCTCCCGCATCAAATATTGATTTCTTGTTGCAGGTTTTTTTGTGCACTGGCCTCAACTGTGAGGGATCATTACAGGCGGCCCGGATTAGTAGGTCGACCCTGCCAAATCGAGGGCACCCTTGTGTCCTGTGTCTTGCGACCCATGCCTCCTGCAGTTCTGTGGCAACGTGGCCCTCAGAAGGGTCTTGTGTCCTCTCGCGTCTCCTCTCCAATCAAGCCCGACTGTAGTTCCGTTCCGCGAAGACGCTCCACGAGTTTCGGCACATCGATGTGAACATAAACTCGGATGTCCGCGCGGACTGCTTGGCTACACGCTGGACCTGGTCCCTGACGCGCGAGGCGCGCCTGGGGCAGGGGGGTCCAGTGCTTACATGGGCTTAACAACGCTTTTGATGTTATAACATTTGTTTTGTTTGTTTGCTTGTTTTCGCTTTCAATATCGTTGTTTGCTGTTTTGGTAGCCGTTTCTTCTCCGTTTTGGGATTGCCGTCTCGCCGTTTTCGGTTCGTTTTGCGATCCGTTTTCAACTTGTTTTTCACAGCCGTGTCGTTTTCTGTTTCCCCCGCTTCAGTCAATTGTTTTTTTTGGTGGGTTGCCGTTTTCTTTCTGTTTTGGGTTGCCGTTTTTCGTTCGTTTTGGGCCCGTATTTCTAACTTTTCAATGAACACCGAACACGGTCAACCGCAACACGGAAACCGCAACACGGAAAAATGAAAACGGGGGAAAAACATGTTCAATGATTTTCAGAACAGCTAAGGTCCAGTACCGGCCCCCGAAATCCGCGCGGACCTCCGACGTATTTTACGTCTGTTGCCGTTCGGCGTGGATGGGGTAGCGGGCCCACCTCGCATTCGCTTCGAGCTTGGAGCCTCGAGCCCCGAGCCTGGATCCTGGATCCTGAGTTCTGCCGCCCCCGCATCCGCTTCGAGCCCCGATCTGGACTCTGGATCCTGAGTTCTGGATCCTGGATCCTGCATCCCCGAGCCTCGATCCTCGAGCCTCGATCCTGGACCCCGGATCCTCGAGCCTCGATCCTGGACCCTCGATTCCGGATCCCTCAGTCCTGGAGCCTCGATCCTCGATCCTCGATCCCGGCTCCTGGATCCTGGATCCTGCATCCTGCATCCTGCCTCCTCGAGCCTCGATCCTGCATCCTGGAGCCTCGATCCTCGACCCTCGATCCTGGATCCCGGATCCTCGAGCCTCGAGCCTCGAGCCTCTGCTGTGGAGAGGCGGAGTCCGCCGCCCGCGGCCCGCGCAGGCGCGCAGGACGGCCACGGCGGCGGCGGCTGCCGCTACGGGGACGGCGGCGGCGGCCGCTTCGGCGACAACCCCGGGGGACGCCACGCCGACTCCGGCATGGGAGGCCGCCGCGCCCGGCCTCGGCGGGGCCCGCCTCCCGGCCTCCGCGCCTCCTCCTACTCCTCGTTCTCGTTCTCCTCCTCGTTCTCCTCCTCCTCCTCCTTCTCCTCGTTCTCCTCGTTCTCCTCCTCGTTCTCCTCCTCGTCCTCCTCCTCCTCCTCCTTCTCCTCCTCGTTCTCCTCCTCGTTTTTCTCCTCCTCCTCCTCCTCGTTCTCCTCCTCGTTCTTCTCCTCCTCCTCGTCCCCGCCTCCCCGCCTCCCGGCCTTCTCGTCCTCCTCCTCCTCCTTTTCCTTTTCCCCTCTCCTCCTCCCAGCCACCCCAGGCAGGACCCATATGACTGATGGGTCGGCGGAGTGGTGGGGCATGTCCCGCGCCATTTTAGAACGTCATGTCGCTTGGTAAAGCCCCTCGGCAAACTTGTCTTTCCAAGCTGGTTGGCAGCAACCACGAGGCGTCGGGTCTCGACCCTGACGAGCATATTGGCAAAGGCGAGCAGGACCTCATGTTTCATTGGCTTGAGAGGGGTCGCGCCCTACATGTTTCATCATAACAAGAGCTCCGCTTTTTTGTCTAAAGCCTCTTTGTAGGCTTGCGGGCAGAGCCCAAAGCAGATCGTTCATCAGCCGCAGACAGGCGCTTGTTAAGAGGACCCGCGACCAGTGGAAAAAGAAACCAGGGTTACTGCGCAGCATGATGGGTAATCCTGCTGCCGTGGTTAATGATATTGTTATCCAGCAGAAGTGACGATCATCGACCTCGTCAAGCAGCAAGAAAAGTGTAACGAGGCTTGGTCTAAGCTGTGGACTGATCCCGTTGACACGTGTCAGGATATTTTGGCCAGCGTCAGCGAATAAGGCAGGGAGGCTACTGAGCAAGACGCTCCTGAGTTAAGAGTATGGCAGCTACAGTCTGTGGTCAGGTCTCTCCCCGCGAACGCCAGAAGGGGCGGATGACCTTCTTCCGACCTCCAGAGGCTTCCGCTCGCTTGTCAGATTGAGCTCCTTGCGCTGCTCGGTCCTATTGAGGATGGGCATCTTTGGGCTCCCCGGTTGTTTTCTTCGGTTGGAGCCCCGAGGAGGGGAGAAGGGTCATCGGGCCGTTATCCGAGATCGCCAAACTCAGGTCCAGGATGAGGTACAGTCGAGACTGATTAGTGGGTCGACCCTGCCAAATCGAGGGTACCCTTGCGTCCTGAGCTTCGCGACCCATGCCTTCTTGCATTCCTATGGCAACGTGGCCCGCGGAAGGGTCTTGTGTCCTCTCGTGTGGCCTCTCCAATCGACCCCGACTCTGCGGCCTGACCTCTCAGTGGTCTCAGGGCTTGGCGGGCTTCTGGGACACCGCCGTTGCGGGCTGTTCGTCTTCGCAGGCGTCTCTGTTGCGGAGTTCTCGCTCGACGAGGCAGCAGTTGGCCTCGGATCCACGGCCGCCGGCTCCCTTTTTTTGGACCTCGAGAAAGTGCTTTACGACGGCGTGTCGTGGGCCTGGCAAGGCCGCGCTGCTTTGCAGCTGCAGCTCACGGCCGTCAATCCAGCTTTCTGTTCAGTCGGGCATGTCCCTCTACAGGAGGAACATTCAATACATAGTTAAACATCGTATGGGGACGATTTTTCGACTGACTATCCTGGATAAATGTGAACTTGTTTGGGCTATTTTAAAGTTTTTCTCCATCTTCAAGATTCGCCTGTGGGAGGACATGCCCGACCTAAGCTTTGTGCTGCTCCCCGCTGGCTTCGAGGACAGCAGCGGGTCGCAGAGGGGCCGCTTGGCCTGCCCCATCCGTCGTGGCGGGCGCTGCCCCCACGGAGCCAGCGCGGCGCCAAACTTCGCTTTTGTGCCCTTGTCTGGCGGACGCTCACGGCAAGGCAGCCTCGGCATCAATCTGGACTTTCATTGGCGACACGGTTCCCAGACTTCCTCGAGTCGTGACAAAAATCTGGGCCTCTGGGGGCCCACTTACCGGGCCTCGGGACCGCCAAAAACGACTCAGGATGAAAAGCCCGTCCCCGTCCCAGGGACTGGGTCCGGACCGCTGGGGGTCGCATCACGCAAGAAATCTGACGTCGGGGGTCTGGGTTCTTCGTGTCCAGGGCACGGGGGCCGTTGCTGAAGAAGGGATCTTGCAATCCTCTCTGGCGCTCGAGAGGGCGGCTTCTGGGGGTCGCCTCGCCGCCTCTGGCAACATTTGGTTTTGTTCCTCTTGTCCTCCTCCTCCACCTCCTCCTCCTCCTCTTCATCCTCCTCCTCCCCCTCCTCCTCCTCCTCCTCCTCCGTGCTAATGTCCTCCTCGCGCAGCATGGGTATCCTTCCTCTTCCAGCACCTCCCCTGGCCTCCCGTCGTCCGCGCAAGAGCCTCGGTGCCTCGGGCCATGACGCGCTAACCCCCCTGATGTGCCATTTTCCACCACTACTGCTACCGTAAATAGGACGGGGGAGCAGAGAGGATGGGGAGGATGGGGAGGTTCTCCTCCTCCTCCTCCTCCTCCTCGTCCTCGTCCTCCTCCTCCTCCTCCTCCTCCTTCCTCCTCCTCCTCCTCCTCCTCCCCTCCTCTCCCTCCTCTTCTTCCTTCTCCTCCTCCTCCTTCTCCTCCTCCTCTTCCTCGTCCTCCTGCTCCCCCTCCTCCTCCTCCTCTTCCTCCTTCTCCTCCTCCTCCTCCTCCTCTCCTTCTCCTCCTCTCTTACTCTTCCTCCTCCTCCTCCGCCTCCTCCTCCTCCTCCTCATCCTCCCCCTCCCCCTCCCCCTCCTCCTCTGTCTTCTCCTCCCCCTCCTCCCCTTCTCCTCCTCCTCCTCCTCCCCTCTCCTCCTCTCCTCCTCCTCCTCCTCCTCTCCTCCCTCCCCTCCTCCTCTCCTCCTCCTCCTCCTCCTTCTCCTCCTCCTCCTCCTCTCCTCGTCCTCCTCGTCCTCCTCCTCCTCACTCCTCCTCCTCCTTCTCCCTCCTCCTCCTCTCCTCCTCCTCCCCCTCCCCCCCCTCCTCCTCCTCCCTCCTCCTCCTCCCTCTCTCCTCCTCGCTCTCCTACCCATGGTAGTGGTGGTGGAACTCTGGCTCATCACCTCCCCCACTTCAGCCCCCCCCCTTACAGGGTCCATTGCGATTCGTTTGAGCCTATCCGATTCGACATCCATTTCTGGCTGACTCGATCCGGTTCGATTCCGTTGCTTCGGCGATCCGTTGCGGACCGAGGCTTGCGTTGCGTTGTTTTGCATCCTGGCGCCGCCGATCTGACCTGATGTCGACCCCGTGCCGATGCGGTCCGATCCGTCGCACTTTCCGATTCAATCCGATTTCTCGATTCGATGCCATTGGCTCTCAAGAAGTGGTTCTAGTCCTCGTCCTCTTCTGCTGATGCTGCTTCGCCAGCAATCCCTAACCACTCTCTCGCTCTCTCTCTCTCTCTCTCCCCCCTTTCGCCCTCTTCATCTTTCCCCTCTCCCCCTTGCCTGCTCGTGGCTGCGGGCACGAAAGTTGATCCGACGTTTTTCCTGCTTCTCCTCCTCCTCCTCATCGCTCCTCCTCCTTGTCCTCCTCCTCCTCATCGCTCCTCCTCCTTGTCCTCCTTGTTCGGGAACTGGAGTACATACATTACCAGGGTCGGGGAGGACGTCGTGGTGGTGTGGTGTATGCTCGTTTCCCGTTTTCCCGGGGAAAGAACGAAGCATGCATGCACCAGCATCCCGTATACACCGAAACCACCCGCTTTCCCGTTTGCGAGTGTCAGTGCAGGGCCGGAAACGCGTCGGCGTATAGAGTTCGGCTCCTTACTTGTCCTCTGCCCGCGCTGTCTTCCGCCTCGCGGGATTCACCAGCCTCGAACTTATCCCTATCCCTAAGATTGACACGCTAAAAGGAGATGCCAATCTTAGGGATACACCCTCAGAAACTGAGGAAATCCCTAAGATCGCCATCGTGATGAGGCGATGCACAACATAGGGATAGGGATATGTTCCAGGCTGCTAAGGGATTGCTGCCGCGCTTCCTGCACGCCGCGGGCAGTGCCTCACCGCTGTGCCACGGGTGAGCGCTTCGGTGGCCGTGCGGGCGCGAAGAAGAGCAGGGGCAACGACGCAGGGGGGACTGGCCCGGGGGGTGACTGGGGCCAGGAGGAGGAGTTGTCGACCCCAAATCGCCCGTTCATTCGGTAGCAGATCATGGGAGCCTGGTATTCTATCTGAGTTCTGTCGCGGACAAGATGGTTTGGGAGGCGCCCCAGGGTTGCCGCCGAAGAGTGGGCCCGAGCAGCCTGCGTAAACGAATAAACTCGGGCGCCAGAGGGGCCAATCCATTACGACGGCCTTACGCCTGGTGCTGCCAACCCTGAGTGGGGACGACGACGACGACGACGACGACGACGACGACGACGACGACGACGACGACGACGACGACGACGACGACGACGACGACGACGACGACGACGACGACGACGACGACGACGACGACGACGACGACGACGACGACGACGACGACACCGAACACTCATCTCGGATCCGGCCCTGGCGTGCCCTGCCCTGCCCAGGAGCTTTTGCGACTTCGCCCCGCCTCCGATATCTGCCATCAGCCACCGCCGACGCTGAGCCGCTGTCTCTCCCTCCGAGCCAGGGCCCCTCCCTCCTCCTCCTCTTCCCCTCGCCTGGCACCCGCCCCTCCTTCCCCTCCCCCTTCCTTGCCCCCCTCACTCTGCGCTCCCCCGCCCCGCCCTCAGAGCGTGAGAGTCGCGTCTTTTCGGTCCGTGCGCGCTCGTAGATCCCAGACCTCTTGCGCGCCCCGGGGAGGCCCAGACGTCCGATGTCATGCTTCTGTCCCGGTGCGGGTCCCCCAGAAGTCGCTACCCGCCAAACCACCCCAACCCGACCCGAAGGCTTCAGTCTGCCCTGCATTTCCAATGGGGGGGACGTCGGGGCACATCGAAAAAGCACATACGGAACCCGTACCCCCCCCCCCAACCCGAACGTCGGGCCTTTGGGGGCGGGTTGGGGTGGTCTGGTAGGCCGCCGAGAAGCCCCGACCTTTTCTCCAGGGCCGGCTGGTCATCCGCAGCACACTCTGACGGTGCCGGGGGCCCGGCGGGGGCCCCTGGGAGGCCGAGAATGGCGAGTTCGTTTGGCCTGGGCCTGCTCGACACGCTGGAGGGTGGGGTGTTTTTCGGATGGCCTCGGGGCCTCTGGGGCGGATTCCCAGAGCCTCGGACTGTGACGCCGAGGTCTGAGGGCCCCCAGGGTGAGCGGAGGCGTCTGGATCGATGATCCTCAGGGAAAGGTGTGTGTGTGTGTGTGTGTCAGCCCCGTCCAGCCCCCGGCGACAGCACCCAGTGTGGTATAAATGGTTGTGGAGCCGATGCTGAAAAGGGCGCTGTTATCAGCGATAGCCGCAGGTGCGTTGCATCCCGATTTCAGCAACGTTGGCTTAGCGCCGGCTGCCTCAACGATGAACCCAGCGCGACCCCAATGAGGGGAAACATTCCTATTGCATTTGCGCATTGTTTTGCGGTGCATGGCGTTGCTTGGCATTGCTTGGCAATGGCATTGCTTGGCGTTGCTTGGCATTGCATTGCTTGGCATTGCTTGGCATTCCTTTGCACTGTTTGGCACTGCTCGGCAGCGCGTGGCATTGCTTGGCCTTGCGTCGCATTGCTTCGCATGGACTGGCATTGGTTTGCATTGCTTTGCACTGCTTGGCTTTGTTTCGCGTTGCCTAGGATTGTTGTGCAATGCTGGAGAACCCGAGGAACAAGACCAGCGAACCCGAGGAACTCGAGCAAAGAACAAGACCAGGGAACCCGACGAGCAAGATTGGGGAAACCAAGGCCCTTGTAAGGAATAAAGTTGGGGACCCCGAGGAATCCGGGGAACCCGTGGAACAAGACCGAGAAGCGGGCAACGTAACAGTAGGAGGCACTGGGGGCGGGGAACCGGAGGAGTCCGAGGAACCTGAGGAACCCCAGGAACCTCCGAGCAACGGGCAAAGTAACATTAGGAGGCACCAACTTTTAACCAAGTATGATCGCCTTAGGCAAGCCTCACTGGGGAAATAGGACGCACCAACCTTTAACCAAATAAGAACCCCTCAGGCGAGCCTAATTGGGGAAACACGTCAGAATATCTGTGTCCAACTTCCCCAAACGACCGCAGTTCTATTAGAACAGCAACGCAAACACCTGTTCCAGAACGCCCGACCACCAAGCACGCAATTTGGGAAATTCCGATGCGCGGAAGGCGTGATTCCAGAATGTCCGTCTCGCGAAACGTGTGATTCCGGAATTTCTGGGATTTCGAAATAGTGCTGCGTCAATGCAAACCATAATTCCGAAGTTTCGGAACGACGTTCCGGACATTCAGAAATCACAGAAACGAAGTCCGGAAACTATGGGATCTCCGGAATCGCGTACTTAGCGATAGGGCGTCGTGCGATGGGCATGTGTGTCGCCGTTCAGATTTGATGGAGGTTGGTTAGGGGGTTGGAACCAGGAATTTTTATGTTGTTTGAAGCGACCGACGCAAAACCAACATTGTTGAAATCTGGATGTAACGCGGTTGCGGCTATCATATATATATATATATATATATATATCCTCGCCTTATCCAGTATTGGCATCACACCCTATTATAACAAGGCGGCGGGACTTCTCAGGAGCCCTCCAGCCTTCTGAGAAGCCGCCACAATGCCTGCGGAGAAGGCTCAGAGTTAACTTACCAGAAGGCCAGAGGCCTCCCGAGCCTCCCGAGAAACCTCAGATCGGACGTTCTGAGGATGATCGACTGGAGGCCGCCAGATGGTGGCTGCGACGACCGCTGCGCGCAGATTGCCGCCCTATAGGAAGCTGGCTTGGGGGTTGCTAGCCCGGGCTGGCCCCCATCTAGCACCCCCCACAGCAGGCTGCGAGTTGGGGGTTCCCCAAGCAGATGGTATCCCCCATTAATTAACAATTCTCCGAGGCGCGAATTTGTCCATATCCACCGCTCGGCAGGCGGTGGATATGGACATATTCGGGCCCCCGGGGGCCGAAATATATCCATATTCACCGCCCGCTGGGGCACCAGGACGTCGCTCCCAGTCGGTGGATCTGGATACATCCCCGCCTCGCAAAGTCTTCGGTCTTTCCTGCTCCACCGAGGAACTGTTCATGGCGGCCCGCTCGCAGACCCAGAAGCAAGGTCAGGGAATCATCGACTGGAGGCTCCCAGGTCTCGAGGCTCTCCCCCCTTCCCCCCTCCTTTCGCTTCGACTCGTTCGAACCAGGAGCAAGCCATCTCTCGTATAATGAGACGGCTCCACCCTCGCACAGGTAAGTTGTTACGTGAGTGACCTTGCCCTTCGCAGGCTCTGGAGCCTCCGCCCTCGTCTTGCGATGAGCTAGGTTGGGGGTGCAAGAGTGTGCACGAGCTGTGCCAGGCAGCCATCCTTGGCGGCTGCTCCACAGCTTTCTGTTTCCCCACTGTTGGGACGCGCTCGATCTGATCGGCCGCACCTGCCATCGCTCGGGACCTCCTCCTCCTCCTCCTCCTCCTCCTCCTCCTCCTCCTCCTCCAAGGTCTCAGGGCCTTCTCCATAAAGAGCCCTGAAAGTCCACGGGTTTCGGCCTTTTTTGGTTTCGGTTGGCGAGCCCTGGAGCGCCCGACTTGCTGCGGCCCTGCTTGGGTCGGGATCGAACAGGTCAAATCTTCGGCTGCCTGGGCTCGATCCTCGCAGCTCCGTCGGGTCGGGCGAGAGGGGGGGTTCTTGGGTCGGGCAGGGGGGGGGTAACGAAATCATCTGCGTGCAGCTGCTCTTGGCCCCACCGCCTGGCGCCTTTCCTCAATGCATGGCCGCCTCCTGTGCTGGGAGGCGCCCGAGAAACCAGCTGAATACGTGAGCTTCTTCGCCTACTCTGAAATCGGGCATGTCCCTCTACAGGAGGAATACCCAAAAATAAAAATAGTCTGGGGACGACTTTGGGAATATTGTAGTGGCCTCTGGCCAGTGCCGCCGATCCGGGGGCGCTCCCGATGCGATTTGGTTGGTGGACGGGGAGGTGGAGGAGTAGGTGGAGGATGAGGCGGAGGGAGGTGGAGGGAGGGATTGCCTCACGATGGTCCAAGACTCCAGGAACGCCCGAAGAGGCCCAAACCCAGTGATTCCCTGTAGGTTTTTGAAGGATTCGGGGGATTCTTCCTTTTTGGCTTTCTGAAGGCCCAAGACGGCTCAAGAGGCCATCAAGATCGCTCCAAGAGCGTCCAAGAGGCCTCCAACATTGCCCCGGGACCGCCCAAGAGGCCCCCCGAAGACGGCCCCAGGAGGGCCCAGACACGGTCCCAGATTGCCGCCAAGATGGCCAAGATGGCCCAACATTGCCGACAGGATGCCCTCAAGACGGCCAAGATGTCCCCAAGAGAGCCCAGGATGGCCCCAAGATGTCTCCAAGACGGCCCAAGATGCACCCAAGCCGGTCCCAGATGACCTCAAGTTTGTCAAATACGGCCCAACAAGCCCCCAAGCGGCCTCCAAGACGGCATGCGAGTACCCAAGAGGACCTCTAGGAAGGCCCGAAGAAACCAAAATCACAGATTTCTTGTTGGTTTTGGCTCCTTTTCAGCCTTCTGACGGCCCAAGACGGCCCAGGAGGCCTCTAAGATGGCCCCAAGAGCACCCAAGAGGCCTCCAAGACGGCCTCGAAGTGTTGGGTCGGGTTCCCTCTCTGGGGCTTCTGTTGGGGCCGTCTTGGGGCCCTCTCGGAGCGCCTTGGGTGCCTCCGAGATAGCCCTGGAGCCCTCTTGGGCCGTCTTGGGGCCCTCTTGAGTAGCCTTTGGGCTCCTTGGGCAGTTTTGGGGCGCTCTTGGGAGCCTCTTTGGCCGTCTTGGTGCGATCTTTGGGGCCTCGTGGTCCGTCTTGGAGCGTCAGAAACCCGAAAAGGCGAGCACGTCAAAATCCGCCACAAACTATAGGAAAACATACGATTTTAGCCTCATGAGCCCCTCTTGGCGGTGCTGTTGGAGTGCTCTTGGGGCCTCTTGGGACCTCTTGGGGGGCCTTTTGGGCGTTCTTCGGGCCTCTTGGGAACTCTTGGAGACGTCTTGGCCCGTCTTAGAGGCCTCTTGGAGGCCTCTTAGGCCGTCATGACGCCATCTTGGGCCGTCTTGGGTACATCTTGGGCCGTCTTCGAAATATCTTGCAGTAATCCTGGGCTCTCTGGCATCCGGGGTGGCACTCTGTTGTGTTTCCCACGACCCGACCCCCCCCCGGAAAACGGAGCACAGCGCGTGCCCCCCCCCCCGCCCCGGCAGAGCCATCCCGGCACCCACCCAGCAGACGAGAAGCTCAGGAGCTGGAGCTGAGGCTACATCTAAGGCTCTTTCAAACTCACACGCCGGATCGGCGATTTTTGTTGTTTTTTTGGGGCATGTTTCGAGTTTTTTGCATTTTTCGTGCCTCCCCGAGCGGAGGACATGGGATGTCTTGAGCGGGGAGGGGGGGTCACACCACCAGGATCACCCCTTCATGGCTCCTTGCCCCAGTGGTGGTGGTGGTGCCGTTTTTCGTTAATAAGGTTTCCCCTCGCCACTTCTTGCCTCTGCTGGTGCGCGCGCGAGGCGGCCTCGGCGGCCTCCGGGCTGGCCAGGGAGGTGCCGGGGGCTGCGCCAGCAGAGGCTCCCCCGCGTTGTCGTCGCCTGATGGTGGTGGTGGTGCCGTGATGGTGGTGATGGTGACGGTGACCGTGACGGCAACGGTGACGACGACGAAGACGACGACGATGACGACGGTGATGGTGATGATGATGATGATGATGATGATGATGATGATGATGATGATGACGATGATGATGATGATGATGATGAGGTTGATTATGATAATGATGACGACGATGATGATGCTGATGCTGCTGATGATGATGATTGTGATGTTGATAATGATGCTGATGCTGATGCTGATGATGCTGATGATGATGGTGATGATGGTTGTGATGATGAGGAGGAGAGGATTATGATGATGCTGCTGATGATGATTATGATGATGATGATGATGATGTCGCTGGTGATGATGATGTTGATGATGGTAATGAGGCTGCGGATGATGTTGACGGCGACGACGACGACAGCGATGATGATGTGGATGATACTGATGATGAGGACGATGATGATGCTGATAATGATGGGGACGGTGATTTCGATGATGCAGATGATCAGACTAATGATGATGACGATTACGATGGCGATGACGATATTCATGATGATGCTGATGACGAGGATGATGATGAGGATGCTGATTGCGATGCTGATGATGATGATGATGATGATGATGATGATGATGATGATGATGATTGATGATGATGATGATGATGATGATGATGATGATGATGATGATGATGATGATGCTGCTGCTGATGATGATGATGATGATGTTGGTGATGACTATGATGATGGTGATGCTGATTATGATGGTGAACATGATGATGGTAATGCTGGTGATGATGCTAATGACGATACTGACGCTGCTGGTGATGATGATGATGAGGAGGATGAAGAGGCGGACGAGGAGGAGGAGGGGGTTATTGGTGGTGACTGTGACGATGACGATGACTTTGCGGGTGGTGGTGATGGTGATACTGGTGATGCAGATGATGATGTTGATGATGCTGTTGTTGATGATGATGTTGATGATGATGATGATGCTGATGATGCTGATGATATGCTGATGCTGATGCTGCTGATGCTGATGATAATGCTGGTGGTGCTGGTGACGGTGGCGGTGGTGATGCTGATGCTGCTGCTGATGATGATGCAGCTGGTGATGATGATGTTGACGATGATGATGCTGATATTGCTGGTGATGATGATTATTATTATGATGATGATGATGATGGTGATGATGATGATGATGATGATGCTGATGCTGATGCTGATGCTGATGCGGATGATGCTAATGATGATGGTGATGCTGGTGATGCTGATACTGTTGATGATCATGATGGTGATGATGCGGCTGATGCTGATGCTGAAGGTGTTGATAATGCTGACGAAGATGTTACGATGCTGATGCCGATGCTGATGATGATGCTGATGATGATGATGCTGATGATGATGATGATTATGCTGATGATGCTGATGATGATGATGATGATGATGATTATGATGATGATGATGCTGATGATGATGATGATGATGTTGATGATGATGATGCTGATGATGATGATGATGATGATGATGGTGGTGGATGGATGATGATGATGATGATGATGATGATGATGATGATGATGATGATGATGATGATGATGATGATGATGATGATGATGATGATGATGATGATGATGATGATGATGATGATGATGATGATGATGATGATGATGATGATGAGGAGGAGGAGGAGGAGGAGGAGGAGGAGGATGAAGAGGATGATGATGATGATGAGAAGGAGGAGGAGGAGGAGGCGGAGGAGTAGGAGGAGGAGGAGGAGGATGACGAGGAGGAGAATACGGAATGGGGGGAGGAGGAGTTTCAGCAGCAGCAGGATGCTGCGGAGGGGAGGGGGAGGGGGAGAGACGATGGCATAGTGAGGGCTTGGGACAGGGGGGTAGGCGTCAAACCATTCTCAAGGGTTGGTGCTGGGAGCAGGCCGACCCTAGGCGCCCGACTTTCGGTCGGCGTCGACAACACGCGCCATGGCTGCCGCGCCGCCAGTGCCATTACGCTGCTCGCGGCACTACGGAGGCGACACGAATGGACTCCTGGACCACCGCCGCTAGGCCTTCGTTTTCACAGACTTGTGACGCTGCTCACTCGCCAGCGCCCTCAACTCCATGGCGGGCCTCATGCTGGACCATGCGCTCGTGCAGCTGAGTCACGACGCACTGGTCGCATACCTCCTTTGTGGGCTGGGGAAAGAGACGTGCTATACGAAGACCAGCGCCAAGACCAAGCGGCGCTCCATGGGGTGACATGACGGGCTTCCTGGATCATTGCGACGGGACCCTCATGACCACCAATACCCTCGATTCCAAGGACGACTTCACGGTGATCCTCACGCTCGTGAAGCTAGCAGCCTGGTTCGACAACGGGTGAACGCAGTCGTGCCGCATCAGGGCACTCATGACAGACGTGCTGGATGTGGACCTGATTTGCGAGCTGTCGAAGGTGACGATGTACAGGGAATTCTAGACGCTTCGCGTATCCCCACCAGCCCGTCCAGAAACGACGCCCAGGCGAGTAGAGTGTCGTCTTGAGGGGCTTTTCGGCGTCTTGGGTGCCTCGGGGGGGCCTCTGTGGGCCGTTCGGGATCCTCTTTGGGGCCTCCTGGGCGCTTCTTGGGGCCATCTTTGCCCCTTGGGTGCCTTTGGGGGGTCTCTTGGGGCCTCTTGGGGGTCTCTTGGGGGCCTCCTGGGGGCCTCTTGGGAGGCCTCTTGGGGCCATCTTGGGGCCATCCTGAGGGGATCTGGCAAAGAAAGCGGAAGCACTAATTAGCGTCGCTCCTGGAAAGCCTCTAAAATCGCCTCCTGAACCGCTCTTGGAAGGCTCTTGGAGCGCTCTTGGGCGCTCTTTGCGCCGTCTTCGGGCTTTCTCGGGCCCTTCTTGGAGCTATCTTGAGCCATCTTGGAGCTATCTTGACGCCTCGGGTGGGCATCGGAAGCGAAAGCGCGAGAACGCCAAACACATTGATTTTCCCTAGGGTTTTGAAACATTTTGGCTTCTTGGGGGCATCCGAGGGGAGCTCTAGTGGACACTTAGAGCCGTCTTGGGGCGGTCTTGGAGCGTCTTGGAGCATCTTCGGAACCATCTTGAGGCATCTTGCGCTATCTTGAACCATCTTGGAGGCGATCTTGGGCTCCCTGAGGCCCTCGTGGAGTCGTCTTGGCTCATCTTGGACGCTCCAACGCGTCGCGGCCCCCCCTGTCCAGGTCAGTGGGGAGGGGGTAGGGGGGGGGGTAAACCCCTCCCCGAAGGGGAAGAAGGAGGGGTGGAAGAGGAAACGATCTAAACCACCGACGCCCAGAGGGCTGGTGGGACTCTGCGCTATGATCAAGTGGCACTCCGAGGACGTCAAGACGGGCGTCACCAGGGAGCGGGCGAAGATGGCGACCTACGAGGAGGGCAGCTTCGATTCCAGCCTCATGAAGCCTGACGCGGTGGACGAGGCCCTCGTGGCCAGCCGCGGCAATCTCGTCCCCAGCCCTCAGAGCAGCCGACCGTTGTGGACCAGGCGGATCGCTTCGACACTAGCCCCGTGCGACTGGCCGTGGAGGAGGAGGAGGGGGAGGAGGAGGAGGAGGAGGGGGAGGAGGAGGAGGAGGAGGAGGAGGAGGAGGAGGAGAAGGAGGAGACGGAGGCGGAGGAGGAGGAGGAGGATGAGGAGGAGGAGGAGGAGGAGGAGGAGGAGGAGGAGGAGGAGCTCACCTTTGCGTTTTGCGCTCGCCGTTCTTGGCACGCTCCTCGTGCCCGCCCGCCGCTGTGCGGTCTGCGCAGTGGCAGGGTTCCGCCCGTTTTGCGCTCGGCCTCCATTGCCGTGGTGTCACAGCGCGGTGCAGGTGGTAGGCCAGAAGCTGTTCGCTCCTGGCCGTAGATGGGAAGACAAGCAGACGCCGAAAGTTGCAAGAAACTGTCTGCAGTGCTTGTTTTCGCGCTCCACGGCCAGTTTCTGCATCCCGAGACGTTTGCAGACGGTCCTGGGTCCCCAGGGGCCGAGAACCGTCGACAAGCGCCTGTCGTGCTTCTCTTCGCGACCCGAGGGGGTCCTGGGCCTCCTGGTTCGAGGACGTGGTCCGACCTGGCGATCGGAGGCCCGCCGATCGCCAGACCAACGCCGAAGGCGCCATGCCAAGAGCTTGCCGTGACGTGCTTCGCATCCTCCCATGGCGGCACGCGCCGGGGTGAAGGCGTGGGGGGCCGGGCCTCCTCGGAAGGCCCCCCTGAGGCCTCTGGCCCTCTGGGCGGTCTTCCGAGCCCTGCCCAGGGCCGCGGGCGGCTGCTCAGGGGGGCGGGGGACTTCTCAGACGGCCGGGTGGCTTCTGGAAAGCCCCGTCGCGCTCCGGGGAGGGCGCCCCCCCTCTCTGCCCCCCCGGGGCGTGCCGCCGAAACGCCGTCGTGGCCGAGGCTCGCCGTGGCCCGGAGAGCCCCTATCGTGCCTGCTGGCGAACGCCTCGCGTCCGGTGCCGTGCCGCCGGCCGTGTGCCCCAGGACGAGGAGAAAGAGGAAGAGGCGGGGGGGGGGGGCGAGGAGGGAGGAGGAGGAGGAGGAGGAGGAGGAGGACGAATTAGGAGGAGGTGGAAAAGCAGGAGGAGGATGCGGAAGGGGAGGAGGAGGAGGAGGAGGAGGAGGAGGAGGAGGAGGAGGAGGAGGAGGATGAGGAGAAGGAGGAGGAGGACCAGAGTAAACCCAGGAGGCATCAAAGATGTTGGAATCAACCCGCCCTCCAAGCTCTCTCTTCACAGGCCCCTAAAAACGTTCATTTCCACTGAGGGAACTGCTTCGTTGGAGGACAACCCTTTGAAAACCCTGAAGCGTGCCAAAACATCGTTTTCGGGACTCCATTGCCACGGATCAACCTGACTGCTGCGTCTTGACGATCCTGAATCGTGCCAGAACGCCATTCCTGGGACGCCAACGGCGCGAATCAACGTAACTGTTACGCCTTCATAATCCCGAATCCTTCCAACACAATTTCTGGTACGCTGATAATGGGAATCCGTGAAACTCGTACAATTAAGAAGAAAAACAACTGTGCGGGGTGATACGGCGTAAACCACATTTTGGAAACTTGACGCCCTCAATCCGTGAAGCGCTTGCACATTTTGAAGGGAATGTGCGCGGCGCTTAACCGAGAGCCAATGTTGAAGACGGGTCGCCCTCAATCCATGAATCTCTTGCATTTTTTTGCAACGCATGTGCGCGGCGCTAAGGCGAGAGCCACCTGTTGAAAAGGGTCGCCCTCAATCCGTGAAGCTCTTGCATTTTTTTGTAACGCATGTGCGCGGCGCGAAGGCGAGAGCCACATTTTGAAAAGCGTCTTCCTCAACTCGTGAAGCTCTTGCAATTTGTTACAACGAATGCGCGCGGCGCTAAGGCGAAAACCACAATTTGAAAACGACCCGCCCTCCATCTGTGAAATTGTCGCCAAATTTTAAGTTTCAGGGTCACCAGGGGTGGGGAAGTCTCAGGCGAAACGCCCGGCCCGCCCCCCAAACTGGCGTCGGGGTGCGATAGGGCAGCATTCTTTGTAAAGAGAAGGAATAACAAAGAGGAGGAGGAGGAGGAGGAGGAGGAGGAGGAGGAGGAGGAGGAGGAGGAGGAGGAAGAGGAC